CCTCCCCGCCCACCCACGCTCCCGCTTTGTGCTGCCGTTGGAAGTCTGCAAGTAACTTAAGCCACGCCACAACTATCCGCCGAGGCTGGTAGCCTTCGGTCTCGCCTTCCCTGCGTCCAAGGAGGGCACGGGATCTTTATGGCGAGGTGAGGGTAGAAAGGAGAGTCAACGTGGGTGGCAGAGGAGTGAGGGGAGGAGACAGAAAGAAGACTTCAAATGCAGGAGGGCAGCTGAGAGGAGGAAGAGCCAGGCCTGCTGCTACTAAGAACATATCGACAGGGCTGGGGTGAACAACACAGGACAACAGATAAATGGCTCTTTCATCCTGCCTTTTATTGTAACAGTCCCGGTTTTCCATCCTGCAGCTATTCCTGATCCCTTGCAAATGCTGCCCCTCCAGTCTAGGTGTCCTTTTCCTCTGAAAGGCTGCACGCCCTGACCCCCACCAATACGCAACAGGAATTCTTTTGATTTCTATGCAACAGAAATGCCCTTTAATGCAGTCGCATGAGAACACTGCATCCACCCACTCCGCAAGCACTCAACTGCCAGTGGTTTACTGGGCTACTGCAGAACAATTCCACCCAGCTCTCATATCGGAGAGATAAGAAAACGGGACAGTTGAGATCTTCCTCCCTTCTCCATAGGCTCACAGTTTGGGCCTCAAATTACTCTGAAGGTATGTCTACACTGCACACTTATTTTGGAATAAGCTATTCCAGAAGAAATACTCCAAAATAGCTTTTTTTGAAATAGCACATCTACACTACAGGGAAGCCTCAAAATTAGCCCAAGGCAGGCTCCCCTAATGTGGACGTGCTACCTTGATTTAGAGCCCCAGGAAGCCCTGGGAAATTATTACTTTGAATGACCCTGGAGAGGTGCTATTTCGAAACAGCAGCAGTGGCACATCCACATGACCGCTATTCCGAAGGAGCTATTTCGGAAGAGGCGTTATTCCTCACGACCGCTATTCCGAAGGAGCTATTTTGGAAGAGGCGTTATTCCTCGTGGAATGAGGTTTACAGAGGTCAGATTAAGCTGCCCATTATTTCAAATTTACTTTGAAATAACAGAATGGGTGTGTAGATGCTCGTGTTGTGATTCCGAAATAACACTGCTGTGTAGACACACCCTACATGAGCCCCATTCAAAAGCCGCTTTTCCCCCTGAGAGCTACTCACCAGCGTCATCCCCATGTAAGCCATGCCAGTGTGAGTCAGCTGGTTATTCCACAAAACCAGAGTGACTAGCCCTTTGCGTTGCTCCTTTAGGCCCTCACAGATGTACGCCAAGCCTAAAAAACAGTATCAGAGAGGGGGTTTTTCAGCTGCTTGCAGCATTTCATAGGCCAGCGCTTCCAACAGTCGTGATGCCAGCACAGCCTGATGTGAACACACAGATACAGTCAGCTCTCACGGCATTTTTCTTATCTTATCCAGTCTTTTGTACAGGCTTTCATGTCGCCTTCAGTAAACGCCAAGCTGGATCCGAAAAACGTAACCAGCGATGGCATGAAGCCAGGTCTCATTCGGTATAAGCAGCAAGGCAGATGCAATGAACATTGCTCTCAATACAGAGCCATTAAAAGTTAAAATCTTTATCCTCATGAAAGAGAGAAAGAACTTAAAAACAGAGCCAGACAAAAGCCAATTTGGGTATGTCTACACTACCCCACTAGTTCGAACTAGCGGGGTAACGTAGGCATACCGCAATTGCAAATGAAGCCCGGGATTTGAATTTCCCGGGCTTCATTTGCATAAGCGGGGCGCCACCATTTTAAAATCCCCGCTGGTTCGAACCCCGTGCCGCGCGACTACACGCGGCACGAACTAGGTAGTTCGAACCAGCGGGGATTTAAAAATGGCGGAGCCCCGCTTATGCAAATGAAGCCCGGGAAATTCAAATCCCGGGCTTCATTTGCAATTGCAGTATGCCTACATTACCCCGCTAGTTCGAACTAGCGGGGGAGTGTAGACATACCCTTTCTGATTAAAATCAGACCATGTAAATACATACATAATAAAGCAGGCTGGGATACTAGGACAGAGCAGAATCGAAGTACGATAGAGAACGTTTCTGCTACAGCTTTATAAAACATACTCTCAATTTCTTCGTTAACCGTCATACCTATGATAGGACCCAAATTCTTGTATCGGAACGGAGTACATGTTGAAATGGTGGCGTATCCTTCACCAACCAGCAAGAGCTGGATTACGCCCCACACACACTCCCAATTCCTCTACTCCCAGGGTGGTGGGGGCACCAGGGGAAGCCATAGGCACCCTAAAGTCAGCCCCATCTTAGAGAATCCTTGGGGGAGAAGGGGTAGCACTGAGGGCCCCCTGCCCCAACCACAGCCCCACACACATCAGGAGGCAAAAGCTCCAGACCCTGCCTGGCCCCACTCATTAGGGCCCTCCCACGACTGGTGACACAGTGAGGAAGTGTTTGGAGGCAGAAATGAGGACTGGGCCAAGGAGGGGTTGGAGAAAGGTTGCCAGGGTGATGCCTTATGGGAGCGAGTAACTGAGTGGGCTGTGCAAATGGGGGGGGGGGCTTTGTTTGGGGGAAAATAGGTTGGTGTGGTGGGGAGGAGCCTGTGGCGAGAGGGGGTTTTGGGGTTTATTGGGGGAAGGGTGCTGTCACTCATGGGTATGTATTTTCACACCCTCGAGCAGTATACGAGAGATGCGCTTTGCCGACATAAGGGGTAGCGTAGACATGGCCTTACTCTGCTATAATCCTTTACAAATGCTTACGCCACTTTAAAAAAAAGTTTTCATTTCAACTCCCAACTTGAGATCAGATTTGGAAATTGTTTAGTCACTCCCTCTTTGATGAGGTGGGGGGGGGGGGGGGGCTGCCTCGTTCCTGAAAAAAGCGCAAGAAGCGTGCCAACAAGCCAGCCTCAACTACCTTTCCAACAAGGCATTCCAGCCTCAAAATCACCTCGAGCTAGCTCCTGGCCTGGTGGAAAGAGGAGAAAGCCCGTACAGAGACAGAACGGGGAAGACTTTTCCTTCCAGCCTGCCAGTACCGCTCAGTGTGGTATTACCAAGAAGTTGCGGTTCAGAGATGAGAGCAGCATCAGCTGTCTCATCAGGAAGTAGAGGGCAGGGGACTCGAACTTGCAATACTCCACCTCAAGTTCAAGAGTTCAAATTAACATCTTCATTGCTTAAAGCCTGAGAATACACTAGCCATCCGCTGTCTTTATAAGACCGTACTTTTGTCCTCTGTCCCCTCCCCGGCCACTCTGTTTCGCTTGTCTTGCTTTTAAAGTCAGCATGAGAAGGGAACGAAAGCTTATCTTCCTTATAAAGGGCAAGTTTTCCAGCCTGGGTTGGAGCGTGCCACGGGATCCAATATGATTTTATGCTTTCAGCGGAGAACATTTAAAATGTCGGGGTCTCTCAGGCCGTTTCTCTCAGAGCAGCAAAGCGGGACGACAAAGGAGGCTTCCCCACCTGAATCTAGGATGTGGTTGTTCCTCAAGTCCAATATGTGGATGTAACAGTTAAACTTCAGCAAGTTGCCAAGCTGAGCGGAGTCCTGCAGCCCGTTCAATTTGTTATCAGCTAGATACAGTTCTCGCAGGGTCATGTTCATTTTCAGAGCCGTTGCTAAAAAGCAAAGGAGCAGAAAATTACACTTCAGCCAAAGTAACAGCTACCGAGCAAAAGACCACAGAGACCAGGGCGCCTGTCGGGAGGCCCACAAGACACCCTGGAACAGCATGTAACCCAAGGAGAGGTCACGTCAGGGTTAATTCATCATTCCTTTAGGGCTGTCTGTACGTTTAGCCTGCTACTAACTGCTCACACATGTCTCCTGTACGGCACGCAAAGCCACCTGTCATAGGCTTATTCCAGCCGCAGGTGAACATGTGCCACCAACCTCTTCTATTCGGCAATTCTTACTCACAGATGACACCCGCCAGCTGTAGACAAAGTCTCAATATCAGCACAAATGAACAAGGCAAAAAAAAAAAAAAAAAGTCACCCGCAGGACAGGAGCGTGGTTGTGGAAATGCTTTATCTCCAGGGCAGGAAGAGGCCACTGACCCACAGAAAAAAATAAGTTGGGGGCTGCGCACAAGTGCGAAGTGAAAACCAAACCCTTACTGATGTTTTCTCCCGTCAGGAGCCACACTTAACTCCATCCTTCCCTTGCACCCCAGAACCTCGGGGGCCCAGGCTAGTAGATTTTGTGGGCTTTAGTCCCGCAGTGGGGTAGGGGGAGTGGGGCTGGAGCACCAGCACTGGCTCCTCAATGCTGAGGGTGCACCCTGAGCCTCAGGGGCCGGATCCAAGCAAGCTGGGGGCTGCAGCCAGCCCCCTGGCCTGAGGTTCCCCACCCTCTGGAGCTTGGCACTACCGTGCCTCAGCAGAAGCTGCCGGGGACAGAGGCCCAGCAGCTCCAGGGATGCATATTGGGGGGAGCATCCGCTACCATGTCCTTTGGAGAGAGCAACCCTAGCAGCACACGAGTCCTGAGCAGTCCTCGCTCTACTCAGCTCCAAGGGCTCCTACCGCACAACGAGAGGCACAGCGAGGCAGCCCCTCGCGTGCGCCCACAACCACCGTCGGCAACCACCTCGCTCTTAATCAGCAACGGCGCTTCCGCCAGCGGCAGCAAAGCAGATCAGGAGATAAAACTTCAATCGTTCCATCACGTTCTGCCTTTCGCACCAAGATCACGACAACCTTGTAAAACACAAGTCCTGGAGTAACCACCTCGGCAGAGGAACCTGCAGCACTTGTGAAAATCTCTCAAGACTCCCCGACAGATGGAAGAACATGGTTCAAGTGTAGCACATAGCAGAGAAGTTACACCAATGGCCTATTGCCGGCCAAGCCATCTGTCGGCAACATGCCTTCACCTGAGGTCTGATGTGACCACAGATGCCTATCAGGGATTCACTAGCAAAGAGCTGCCGGCGCTGCCTTATCCCCTTCCAGAGCACTGACGGGGGCTGAACTGAAAACTTCTGAGACCCAGGCAATGGCTCCCGCAGCGCTCCCAACTAACCTTAACTCTGCCCTCCTTCCTGTGTTCTTCCCAGGGAGAGCTCAGCGCTGTACCCGCCAAAGACATGGGGCCAGCAGAAAGGGGGGGAGGGGAGTTCAGGTTGCCGCGTACTCTTTCCAAGTTTTTCACTGAGTTTCCCTGGTTTCCAAAACACTCACAGAACGCCCACAGGTCAGAGCCCAGCTCCCTCACCACATGGGCCTGGTCTTCCTTGCTATAGTTACTCCAGCTATGGAAGGCACCAGCTACTTATTAATCTCTCCCCTGCATCACCTGCCCAGCTCCTCCTGCCCAGGAAGGGGTCAGCAATAGTGGGGGGAGGCGGCCCGTAGCTTGAGGAGCTGAGAAGAGGCTTCGGGGACTAACACAGACAAACCCCACATCCCTCCCCCACTCCACTGCTTTGACCTCCTCTTTCCCCAGAGAGCAGCATCACAGGGAAGGGTAAGGCAGGAGCGAGAATTCAGGGGTCCCATTCCTCTACTGCTCCCTAAGGAAGGGAAGGAGAACCTCCATGCCCCTCCCTGAGGAAGGATTTTGGGCAGATCAGAGTAGTTGGAAAGGAGCAGGCACACAGCCTCAATTCTTGGCCCCACCCTCAATTCTGCCCCATGGCATCAGATCTAAACCCCCACGCAACGAACGATCCCTTATTCACCCGGAAAAAGCAGCTCTCCTCCCCTCCGCAGTACCTCCTAGGAAAAGGAGGCTCCTGCAGAGAAGGTCCCATGCCACATGTGGCAGGACTTTCCCATATCGAGAACCCCTCCCACCAAGGGCGGGGCTTCGTTAGCCCCAGCCTATAAAGGCCCAGGCTGGCATGAGCCAGTGTGCACAAGCCTAGACCCCACCATGAGGTGGGAGGACAGAAGCTCTGTCCCTGAAGACATCCCCTTGAACTGGGCGGAGGGGAATCAGGGGCCCTCTCTGGTGACCTCCCCCTGTGAAAAGCAAGATGGGGATGAGCCAGTGGGGTGCGCCCATAAGCCAAAGGAAGCATGAGGATGCGCCTCGAGGACCCAGCCAGCCCAGAACTCCAGGGTGAGTCGCGTGGGGGGGCTGGAAGGGCAGGGGAGGGAA